GGTATTATGGCAGATGATGAATCAAGAAACTGTTATTCGATTAGCCCTGGTCAAGAACGTTCACGTCTTCATGAATGACGTTGATTCTATCAAACGCAACCATGCGTCATCAGACACCACGGTCACCAATTTACAGCAGATGATACAAACATTGAAAACACAGGTGGAGGCGTTACAACAGGAATACAAAAAGCTTGCTGACGATAATACAAAATTTCAAACGCAGATTCAGGAATTGCAAGAAAAATTTTCGACAGTTGACGAAAACATGACAGCTTTTAATGAAAACCAACAGGTCATGGAAAAACGAAATGAAGAGAAGCACCAGGCTATACTCAACAAAACTAATCATATTATGGATGACGTCAAAATGGAGGTGAGGTATCTATCTGTGACTCTTCTGGACTTCAAGGAAAGGACAGAAAAGGATACCAAAATTAAAGAAGAGAACATTCAGAAAACCGAAAAACGCTTGAATTCAACCCTTTAATTTGTAAATGCTAAAATTTTGAGGACGGAAGGAATAGTAGGGAACTTTTCTGCGTCATTAAAAGAAATGGAATATTCTCAGTCTGAGACCAGCAGAACTTAAATGGGTAAAATTTTAAGATTTATTCGGGTATATAGTAGTAATTATCATTGTAATCAGATAAATATGATTTTTTTACTAGTATTTCAGTATTTATATATGACTTGATACTTTTGTAGAAAATTTCACCAACACAGTTTACTTGTTCGAAGAAAGAGCAAGAAAGACAGAATACGAACAACTCAAACTGTCGTCTGCAGTATCCTCATTGGGAGTGTTTCAAGTTAATATCTCAAAATCAAACTGTGGTAAAATTTGGTGTTTTACCTCCCATATTGCTCTTGGTATAAGAGGGAACAATTTTTCACATGATTTTTACTTGATAATTACAATCAGTCCTGCATATATTGTTTGTGATCCTTTGTGTACTTATTTTGTCATAATGATTTCTCGAAATGAATTGAATCGAATTCACAATTACATTCAGTTTAATTGCAATTGTGTTTTCAAATCTGTTAGAATTCGTATCATTTGATATTTCTTAAAAGTACTTGGACACAGATTTGAAGTTAATATTTACTCTATAATATTACGACTTAAATATTTTAATAGCATTTCACACAAAAATTAATTAAAAATCTTATTTCATTTAAAAGTTATTAAATTTTTAATTGTTTTGTCGGGTTTGATTGACACATCCTTGCACTTTCACAAATTTTAACTTTATTCTTAATTTTTAGGAAAAGTGGCAGTCTTGTTACTAACATAAAACATATACAATGTATTAAGGAAAGGATTGCACGGGTCAGTGAAAAAATTCTGCCCAATGAATTTTTCTCATTTTTACATATAATGTTCCTAATGTCAATGATACCATTATATCAAAGTATCAAGCATGGTCATCAGGCTTATAAGGAAGTTATGGTTGCCATGGTAACCGCCATTTTTCAATCTTTTGATATTTATGAGGTGAATGTTTTATAATGCCATACACGCAACAAAATCTAAGCAAATTAAATATTTTCCAGCAGATATTTAATAATATGCTTTATATTTATTGAAAATAAAAATTGTTTTGGAAACTATTGATAAATGTAGTAATGACATTGTTTTTTGGGGAAGTATCCATTGTAAATTTGCAGTAATATATTCACCTCAATAGCAGTTTTTAACATCTAGACAAAAAAATTATCCAATGAATTTTCTCAAAACTAATATATGCTGTACTAGTCATTATAAGCGACTTATGGTTAAAACATGAAGTAAGGTAATCAGATTAATTTTAAAGCTACACGCATTTTAGTACCCCCCCTTTTAGAATATTAAAAGATTTCACAGATTTTCATATGATGGTTTGTTGTTGGACCTTAAATATGCATAATCTGTTTAAAGACAAAAAAGGTCATATGTATAGATAAATATTATTTTCTTCTCTGAAAATCTGGCAGCTGATGCAAATTTTATATATATGAAGCACAATGATTTACTTATCACCGACTGTGGTCACGAAAATAACTTTTTTTTCAAACTCAGTTTTTCATCTCCGAGACATTCATTTTGTTACTATATCAGTATAAATAAATAATATATTATAAATATACAGTTCAAAGGCCTTATTCTTCATGCTTTAAACACTACAGCGATGAAAATTTCTTCTTAGTGACCTGTAATGGGGGGGGGGGGGGGGGGGGGGGGGTTGTTCAACATTTGAACACATTGAATGAAAAGAGGTTATTTTGTAAAAGTTGTAACTGCATTATATTTTTTTTTTAAATAAATGTATTCATCCATAAATAATTTTATTGGCCAAATTACAGTAATTCTAAATATTCATATTAATTTACAAAAAGTTTTCCTTCCGATTCTTTTCAAGTAAGTACACTTCATTTTCACCTGTACATGGATGAGCGCTATCTCCATTGTGACGTCATAATGACACAATTGACGTCAAATTTTTCTACTGTTTTGATTCAAAAATAATCATTGATTGAAATAACTTTCCGTCGCTTTATGATTATGCTAGAGTGAAACATCTATGTTCATGTCCATGTGATTAAAAAAAAACATTTTTCAAATGTATTCCCATAAGCATGATGAGTTCACGTTTCTTTTATTTATTTATGTACATATCTTTCATCAGAAGTGTGTTGCGTTTCAATACGACGCATAAAACATTTTATAACAATCGTTTAGAATATATGTGCGACGATGATTGCATGTTTACACGGTCGATGTCACTGCAGAAAATGCTAAAGATCTTATAGTAGAAAACAAAATCCTCTGCGATATTTTTTTAAAGATATGTCTTCTAGGCATAAGTGGTCTTCGCCGTAACACGTTTATCAAAATCGCCTTCGTTCATCAATATTTATACATGTATCTCGTAAATCACGCCGTCTGAATCTTTTATTAATTGGAAATTATCTAAACATGTATAGATGTAGATCCTATGATAAACAACAATCTTAAATAAAATTCTAATTTTAAAATAAAGATATAAACCTCAAGTTATAAATCAAATTTATTTTTAATGAAATAGCCTAGGTTTCAATGTTCAGACATATACAATAGATAGACGTGTCAAATCGTAAAACATGCACGTAGATAAAAAATAAGATCAACTCTCACCAACACGCTCAGTGCATCGTAACAATCTTTAATATCTTCATTCTTTCTCTATTATAGAAAAATAAACTCCTTTTGTCATTAGCGCAAACATATGACGCTCCTTATTCCGGAAATAGTTACAGCAAACATTCTCTTTTGTATTCACCAAATGACGTGATCACGTGACGCCGTGCAATCGCGTCCTTAACATACAAAAGTTTAATGGAAGATGATATATACTTGGTTCCAAAATGTCATACCCCTGTGTCTATATATATATATATATATATATATATATATATATATATATATATATATATATATATATATATATATATATATATAAAGCACAAAGAAAATTACTTTTAAAAGTGAATTTCTTTGTGCTTTCTATATTAATATTTCTTCACTTAGGGCAGTTATGTTAGTTTAAGAGTTGTTGTAAATATATATATATATATATATACTGCCATAAGACTTTTATGAAATGTCCTTACTTGTGTTTATTATAAGAATATTTTTATTCTGAAACAAAATTAAATGCATACAAACATTGAAAAGATAAAAGGTGTACGTATACGTAATTTTGAAACATTCTTTTAAAACTTTAAAAACTCTCTATAAGAAATTTAGATTCACAGAAAAGAAAAAAAAAACCTTTTAACCGTTCAATCATTTTCTCGTAATATTTGATGAGGTGGCTCCTTGATGAAAACTTTATCGTAGGATTATACTGTAGTATAGAAACATTAGCGATTGGAAAAATCGTCTATGTACTTGTAATTTACATCCGAAAACATTGTAAGGAGAGGAACTCGTAAGTAGTAAGAACTTGTTTCTGATCCATTTGATTTATTTAAATAAAATATGTTCAAAACAAACAAAACAAAACATTGTATGCAGAAATTATAACGTTTCATCACAGGTTAATTGTAACGTTTATTGAAACATAGGCCTAAGAATTAAGGAATTAAAATATGACTAATTAATAGGTTCTATCTTCTTACAAGGTTATTATAACGAACATAGTATTTACAAAATGATTTCAACTCGGCATTAGATATATCGACGAAGTTTTGTCAATTAAAAATGGTAATTTACATTCCTATGTTGATACGATATTTCCTGCTGAGCTTGAGATAAAATATACCACAGAGTCTGACACACCTATTTCATACTTAGATATTTTACTTGAAAAAGACGTTTATGGTAATCTAACAACCAAGCTCTATGATAAACTTGATAACTTTAACTTTTCTATCGCCAACTTCCCTTACATATGCAGCAATATACCTTCATCACCTGCATACGGAGTTTATATATCGCAGTTGATTCGAAACGCAAGAGCATTTAAGCTAAATGTCATCGTCCTCATGCTAAAAATATCATCAAAACCCAATAGGATAAAACACGGGAAAAGTAGTAATCAAACCAAGTGGGGTCAATGAAATTTTATTTCAATTTTTCAAATACTCATTTCGAAGACATTTTTTATTAAATTATTTCTTTCTAATCATAGTCATCTGCATCTACGTAAAGAAGATAAAAGTATCTTGCTGAATTGTTAATTTTACTTTGCACATTTATCTATATTGATCAATAATTCATGTAAGAAAAGGGGGAGTAAATTTGTTTTAAACATATTTTTTAAAAATAGTGATAAAGATAAAAGAATTACAAGGAATTTCAAAAAGGACACAACTTGAAATAATTATTAAAAACAGAGATAACATACAAAATTCTATTGTCGCAAATCATTTTTATCAAATATGGTATGATAAACACAAATTATTAAATGGACAAACTTTCTTATATGAATGATCTGTGATGTCAGTAAATCATTGTTATTAAGGATTTCCATTATCTATTTTTGAATATCGTTAGTTGTAATGGTATGCCCGTCATTCGTTTCATTCAATTCACGTCGATGTTTCTTCTTTTTCTTTTTGACTTTTCTTTGCCTTTCTTCCTCTACAGTTTCTTCATCGAGATTCAATTCATTTTTCTTCTTCCTCTTCTTTTTCTTCATCACATCACGTGATTTTGATTCCGTGAGCTCATCAGGGACATCTACCGAGGAGGTTGGCCTGTATTCATTAGCTTCAAGATCATCGGTTTGGGGCATGTTAATATTCTCTCCGAAATTTGCGTAGACAATATCAGAATTTTCTTCGTGTTTGGAATGTTTTTCTTTTTGCCTTTTCTTTTTATGTTTGTTTTTACGGTGCTGGGTGTGATTCACGATATCAGTCGAGGTTGATGCAGATAAACCTATGTCTACAACTTCATTTTGTGGTGCATTTTCATTTTCATCCACGTTTTCTGATGAATGCTTTTTTTCTTTATTCTTTTTGGCAAGTTTCTTCTTGTTCTTCTTCATTTTCTTCTTCTTCTCCTTGTGTTTAGATTCATTTGCCATATCACATGTATCTATTTCAGGCTCTGATTGATTTCTATTTTCATACTCTTCCTGATAAAGGGACTTTTCTACGTCCGTGCTTTTTTGTATCTCGTTTTGAGTATTATTCTGTGGATTTATTTTGCCTTTTCTCTGCATGAACAAATTACGTATGGTTATTCACAAGATATTTCATTAAGAGAGAACATTATGCGAGATTTCTTTCATTTGTCCATTCTATCAAGTACTTCAATATAAACAAACCAAAAAAACGAAATTCTTAAACATAGAAAAATAATTATAAAAAATAAAGCATTTGTATTGAAACTATGATAAAGAAAGTTATTCCTTTACGTTTATATATGCTCGCTCTGATTTTAATTTTTACCTTTTTATTGAAACAGTGACACGCTATCAGTATAAGCATCATCAATACAGCCAGAACTATTCCCACCGTTATGTAGATAATATCTATTACAAAAAAAGTTGATAAGGATTTTCTTCAGTCAAATATATCATTAATACAAATATGAATTTAATGTTAAATCTTATTTAAGTATAATTTCACTGAATAAAAACAACCATATTTTTACATGTTATGTTAATGTGTACCTACGTGTACCTTTATTTTCTGTATCATCTTGGGGAGGAGCAGGATTAGATACTGTTCCAGTGAATAGCTGGGTACTGTTAGTAACTGATACTGTACTTGTTGTTTCTGATTCGGTAGTACTCGTGTCTAACTCAGTGGTTGTAGATGTTGATGTTGTTGTTGTTGTTGTAAAATTACAGTCAGTTACAGGAGGTTTTGCTGGACAGTCTATACGTATAACATCCGAATGTGCACCTGGATTTAATGCAAATAATAAGATGTACATATTTCATTTCAAAATATTATCTCTAAAAGAAAAGATTTTCTATTGTAATATTTTAAACGGAGAAGTGTTTTTACAACAAATTGGTAACATATATTGTAAACTTTCTTTCGTCTGTCAGTCACCTCAATGTTTGTTTATACTGAACTCAATTTCAAAACCCGGTGTCGTTAGTTGTTATTATAAAGTAATTTTTTATTCACATGTCAGGGTGAACATATTTAAGTTCCATTTGCAAAGAAATTGTTTAAAGTAAACAATAGATCTAACGTTTTAAAAGAAAATGTTGTATAAGTATATTTTTTACATTATATATTTAAAATAATACCTCTAAATCCAAACCAAAAATGACCCCCACTGGACGTCATAGAATTGTAAAAAGTAACGTTCAGATAGTTGTACTCAGAAGCCACGGTGAACCTAGTAAAATTGATATTGTTTATACAAGATAAATTTGTGTAACGGTATCCGTCAATTATGGTGATTGACTGTTTGCAATCAGAACCATCAGCGGCCAAACGAAGGTCCAAAACTTCTATTGTAATGGTGCTGTCACAGGAAGGGGCCTCGATTGAACACGCTGACATTGTAATGGCAGATGAAATGCCAGGAACCCGATAGTCATGTCCCTGCAAATAAACACTACCACCGGGGTCTGATGACACATCTTCAATGGTGTTTAATATCAGAATCTTTGATTCTAAAAAAAAGAATTAGATTTTATTTGTTTACATATTGCATTGTATGTAAGTGTACAAATAATAATATTATTACAATTTTAAAAGTCACTTGTTTTTAAATATTATTGTGAAGAAGTTCTTATTCAGGGGCATACTTATTTCAAATTAATGTTCAGTTATTTTTCCTTAATACTTTATGGGGTTCATTTGATTTTTCCTTAATAGTTTATGGGGTTCATTTATGGAAAATAATAGAGCATGACATTTTTTAATTGCCATGATTGATAATTGTATATTTTTTGAACATCCCATTCGAGAATTGTTCACTCATATAGAGACGTCTTTAATGGTTATGAAGATACCCACCATCAATGCAGTCATATTCAAGTGCCATAAACGTTGTTTGTGGATAATATAGCGTTTGGTCACAACCTAGGTATAAAGTATCCACTCGTTGTACTTGAAGAATTCGGCATGAGCTTCTTCCAATGCAATAATCGTAAAATATGAACGTATTTAGCGGGTCTCCGACATTAACATAGTCCCCATAACACAAATCACCAGGATCTGGCTTACAGCACTGATCAAACTGAGTCATGGTCCAGTTAAGGTCTGGTGTATATTCCTTGGAGCAATTCAACATGGCCTCCTTTGTCCCGACCTTGACCCCCACGGGATATATCTGTTGTGTGACTGAACAGTTGGCGTCCATCAAACCAGATCCATAGCAGTCATAGTGGAGGTACTCCGAAGTCACTGTAGTACAGATAAAACATAGCACATGAACACGGATAAAAACATTGTTGTAATATTTGATTAAGTCAGCATGGGTTTTTACCATTATTTACTCTCTCAAATCAGAAATGATTGCCTACTCTTCCTCTTTAAACAACCATGTCTCTTTCATTTCAATACTTTCCTTTTCCTTATATGCTTATTCAATGGATAATTATTTGATTTTCGCGTATTAAATAAGGTTTTTTCATCATTACACACCCTTTCTAAACTTTTTTGTTGGATCGACAATAGTATGCATAGCATTTGAAATGTTAAAAACTCATACGTTGTATGTTTTCCATCTGTAACACTAATGAATTAAATATTAACTATTTTATAAACGTTTGTTATATTTTCTTTCACTCCGTCTAAAAAATATTTAACCATTTGTCATTATTTATTATCATAGATTTCACTTTTAGAAATGACTATTCTTTAAATCCATCTTATTATCTTATATATCTTGTATTGAAAGAAACTGTGCTTTTTTATTTTAATTCTTCTTTCTGTACATTTGCCAAATGAAGATTTGACAGATGTTTTAGCCTATTTGGTAAAAAAATATTATTTTTTTCATTTTTATTATGTTGATATAGAAGGTAAAAATAAATTTTGTTTTCCCTAGAAAAACCATCAAAAAAGATATTCTTTACGATTAGTATGCAATTTCTAGATCTCATATAAAGACAATATATATTAAACAAACGTAAAATAAACTAATACTTTCATAAATATGTGCGTTATCCAATCGTAATTAAATTAAAACTTTACCTGTTTTAAGCAGAAATACTAGAAGTATGATAATCATTTTGTTAGAAATATCAGAAAAGAAGTTAACACGTTATAAACGATATGCCATAGCTAGAAGGAAGTTTAATTCGATTCATTGATTAGAAAATCGATCTAATAAACCAATTAAAAACCTAAGATTTCAAGTACATAAGACCAATCAATGCAGTCCTTTTTAATTCATAAGTAGAACAAATATTTTTCTGCTCTATTACTTTTAAATGCACGCTTTTTAAACTACGTATATCTAGATTAGTTTGTTGATCTATTGTTCCTGGTGGAAACGTGACTTTTTAAAATAAATTTATAAAGAACAAATAAGTCTATTTTCTCTGCATGCTACATAATACTGATATTAAAAAAGGATCATCCAACATTATTCGTTGTTTCACTTAGATTAAGCTTTCATATATTTAACGCAATTTTGCTTCTATATTAAATGGTATTGCTTTTGTAGTTTTTGTCCAAATACTTTTTTACTGAATTAATGTACTGTGTATATGTACTTTTCGTGCGTAGTAAAATATAAATCACAGCATTTATTAAAAATAGTATAATATTATAGAATGTAATCGTACAATGGAATTAGAATTATGAGATCTTTTTACATTATCAAAGAGAAAAGGTATCTTTTTCTGTCTAAACTTTGTTTCGCTTGCACGATTTATCTAACTCAGGAACATCGCTCACTAAAAACAAAAAAATAATAATATAAGATAAAGACCCTTTTCAAAAGATGGAGAATTTGTTTATAAATAGATGAACATGTATTAAAATAACTGATATATATACAATGTTTTCAATTTTATTGCACTAATCCATGGAATTTTTCATAAGCCCTCATATGTATGTATGAAATAGAAATAATTTCAGCATGATACAAGTATATGAATCCACAACTATATTCAAAAACTTTTATAATAGCACACATGCCATCAATTAAAACCGATGTGTTAAGCTTTTGCTGAACGGAAACCAAAACTATTTTTTGTAGTGTAAACACGTGCTGTACGATACCTGTACGCTAAAGACAAGGAATTTCTTTTGAAAAAAGCAAACTAATTTCAGATAAGCTTACGAGACTGAGAATTTTTTATTGCTGTAGAATGTATTGCAATAAATAGTATGCATATGACTTACTTTATTATTAATAAACTTGGACTACAATATACTATACATTGGGACTGAGTACATGTGCATTTTTTTTTTTTTTTTTTTTTTTTTTGAGATTAAAAAAAAATAAGCTCAGAGAAGATGAAGAATCTGGATATAAAACATATGCAATTTTAAGTGGTATTTTTATACTTTGAAAACAAGAATGACAAGGTTTTGAATTTTGGTCTAAACGTACAGACGTACTGAATATTTCGGATATTTCCGATGAAGAATTTTTAATTATGGCCATGGGAGGTCGAAAACAAGGAAAACAAAATATTTTCAATATGGAATCAAGAAGATGAAGGATAAGGAGATAACAAACAGTATTCAATATCAAAAGTCCATATAACAATACAAACAGGAGCAGAGTAAACACGGACCTCTAAAAAGTCGGAGGGGGATCAGGAGCAATGGAGGAGTGAGCATCCCTGCATTTCGCCGTGTGCTCTTTGTCATGATGGGAAAATAATGTAAAAATGGAAAAATCCGTCGTCAATTCAGTGTATAAATACATGTAATGGACTAATATTCAGTATGAAAAACGTCAGTCAGAATTTGACTCAATGATAAATTGTATTTGCTGACAAGGTTATGGTATCGACCATAGAACTTACGAAATGTTGATTGTAAACGAGACTGCTGTTATTCTTGTTTCATCAACTTGTTAGTCATTACGTTTATTATAGAGCTTGGCTGTTAGATTACCATTAACGTCTTTTTCATGTAGAAATATCATCCAAGTATGAAACAGATGTGTCAGAATCTGTGGTATCTTTTATCTGAAGCTCACCAGGAAATATCGTATCGACGTAGGAATGAACATTTCCATTGTAAATTGACAATACGTCGTCGATATATATGAATGTCGAGTTGAAGGCCACAGCAAATGTTTTCTTCTTTACTCGCATAAAATTTTGCACAAATTCTGCTTCATATTATAACCAAGCAGAGAAGGAAAACGCAGGTTCAGTTCCTAAATTTATTAGAAAAATGAAAAAAGCAAAGACAGATCTACAAATACAAAAATAATACACAAAGACTTTGAAATTCATACACTGAAACAAAATACTTTTATTTCCTATTCACTTCAAAAATAAGAAAATTTAAGTTAACGAAGACCAAAAAATGTCAGTTTCATAGTTTAAAAACCGTTTCTTTCACAATTATGAAAATACTTGAGCTTATGACTTGGACTTAATAAATAAATTACAAAAATTTAATAGACTAAGAAAATTTACCAACTTGCAGCTGGTAATTTGTAAAACGTAAATTTACCGAACTGACAGGGATGGGCCCATGCCTCAGTATATATAGCATAAAAACCGGTTAAACAAGGGGGTAAAAATTTACTGGCCAATGAAATTTTGTGAGTGGAATTTATGAATGGAGACTACTACCAAATATGATATACAGTAAATTAAGGCTCCATTAGGTATGGGACAAAAATTTGCACCTCTTCACCGGAAAATAGTACTTTCTCCATTTGATTGAAAATTCATCGAGAGAGACGTTAAACAAAAAACAAACAAAAGGCAACTAAGATTGAAATACGTTATCACATCTTACAAATTTTATTTCAGTTAACTCACAAAGTAGATACTTATTTAATGACAACTAAAATATGCAAAAGAAAAAAAGAAAAAAGTCATTTTTGTTACATATCTGGATTTTGTTGTTCACAATTTTATCTGTGAATTATAAGATTATATGTCAGTAATATTTACAGTATACATACATTGATTTGTATTTGCACTTAAAGACAGAACTCAAAGCAGATATAACCTTGACCCACTTAGGAAAGATCAGATTTGTCAAGTTCCGTATTTAATTGCGATATGATGGAAGCACAAAAGTGTCTAGAAATGAAACATATGGAGATAACGAACAGTATTCAAACTCAGAAGTCCAGTAAAAAATAAAAGATAGGAGCAGAGCAAATACGGACCTCCAACACATCAGAGGTAACAGACATATATAGGCGAAAAGTTGAAAATGGTGTTGCTTATCAAACACTCAATGGTCACATATTTAAACAAAAGCTATTAGGGGGCTATCTGCAGTTCAGTATAATTTGTTTTGGAGAGTATATTCAGAATTTTCTGTTTTAACATTAATCGATGTACACTTTTCAAAAAAAATATTTAAAAGAGTTTAAAAAGTTGATAAAACTACTCAGATTTAAATCACGAGTCTTGTTACTGTCATATAATATAAATATCAAAGTATTTTTACTATTACCTATATTAAACCTATTCAACGTTTCGATATGTAAGACCATTAATCTTATAACCATATTCATTATCATTCCTACATTAATTATATAGGATTGACATTGATATATACACCTTTGAACTTGAAATAAAATAATACCCCAGAGTCTGTTTCATTTTGATTTTTACTACTAAAAGACGTTAATGATAACCATAAAAAAAACTTGATTTAACGAGGTGATTCATGTCCCTTTGTTCATATCGCCTGGATATGAAGTCCGTGACACCGAGTTGATTCGATATGCAAGAGCATGCGCTATATCAAAATATTTTCTTTAACGAGGTAAGCCATTGACAAATAAGTGAATGAAATAAGGATATCAACAGTCTCGTTAAAAATCAATATTTAGTGAATTTTATGGATATGATAATATAATGAGATATAATGGAATCTATCCTTATTATTACAAATGGTACACGGTAGGTTTGATTGATTGACAGGGAATACTTTCTTCTCCATAGCATCTGATTCCAATTTTGATTTTTAGAGGTATTTTCTCCGCTCCCGATTAGTATTGCTTCAATGACTTTTATACTTGACTACAATTTGTTATCTTACGTGGGCCGTTCAATAAATAATGTCATCAGCGCAATGACATACAACACAGAAATCATATGACATTTAGGTAATCTTTTTCTCATTATTGAATCTTTAATGAATTGATTACAGTTTATGTGACCATTTTTCATCACAAAGTTTCATTGTGGGAACCTGGAAAACAAGGTCTATTCGAGACACTGCATTAAAAATGAATGGTATAGAATCAGTAAACTAGAGTGTAATTAAATGCTTCATTAAAACTGCTGTAAAAGTTTAGAATCCAAAAAAAATATTTACTGAAAAATGTGAATTTTACAGCAACCAATGCCTGTTAATACACACATGAGCAGGTTGATTTCAATGAACATATATGATAAAATGGGCATAAAAAATGGGCACCGTCCTTGGTTACAAGAACTTACAACAAATGCACTTTTTGCAAAAATTCAACAAATTATCATTGATTATGTTTGATTGACTTTAAGACACATAGCAAATTTGATAGGCATCATTTTTGGGGTAGATAAAAATGTTTTAGAGAAACATTTAACTGTAAAAGGCTTAATACTGAAAGGTAACCCTATGTTTTGAAAAATGAGTGAAAACGACAGCGTGTATGAACATCTAAACAATAATTTTTTAAAAACAAAAATTGCACTTTTGTCTGAAAATTAAATAGTTAAAGAAGCGTTAACCCATTGCTTTAAACCCTTAAAAAATTTACATTAATAACATGCACTTGACAACAACAGCAAAGGCATGAGAAGAGCAAAGAATTGCAAGAGCACAAAACAGGTTTAGGTGCTAATTACTTAAATATTAGTGGTCTTGTTGTTCAAATTCTTATTTGGGGAGCCAGTTGAATTTTTGGAGGAGTTTAGAAAGCAAACTTTTTGCAAAAAAATGGAAAGGTTGATAAGAGGAAGAAACCAGAATCAGGAATCTACTACATTAAATTTTTTCATGACAGCGTCCAAACCCAGCGTTTTTTTTCCTCCGAGCATCGATGACATTATTTATTGAACAGCCCTCGTATTATATTTCATCACATATTTTTCATATCTAGGAAATGTAAATGATAATCATAATATTGATATCCATCATACAAATATGAGCGGATATCGATTTGTATTCCATAAAAAGTTCATTTATAATAGAAAGGTCTCCCATTCCCGTATGCCCAATTGTGCATCTGTCTTCTAGCTCCATATAGAGATACTGATATTCGACGAAGATTTTCCGTCAAATCGGTTCGGTTTCCTTTCGCCATATTATAAGCCGAGAATGCCAATAGACCTGCATCAAACAGAGCAGTCAGTGGCCCAATGACTGCTCCAAGAATTGTTATTCCTCTGGCTGATACCTTAAGCAGGCTTACTGGGATAATTGCTAGACCTTTTACGGTTCTTAAAATACCAGGTAAGCTCTGTACTCCCGCAAAGTCGGATGCCCCAATATTCTGATTGGTTCTGATTTCAGTCGACATCTCTGCCAGCTTTTTTACTTCCATTTTCAACTCTTCCATTACATTTTGTAAGAGCTCAAATATCTCTTGGTAAGAGTTTTGATACCGTTTAAGTTTGTCTATTGTACCACTGTTCAAGTAGGTTTCAGTAATTTTTGCTCCTGCAGCCACTGTTCCTCCGGAAACCGCCAGAACCCCTCCTCCTACAGCCAGTAGGGTGGAAATTCCTCCGGTTAGCGGTGCAAGCGCTATTCCAACACCTGTCAGGACTGCACCAACAATTCCCGCCCCAGAACCAGAAATTGTGGCAATATTTACATTTTTACGACGACCCTCAATTTCACATATCACCAAGTCACATCTTTTCTGTAGAGCTTGATTACATGAAAGCCACTGCTCTACAGTAACACAGGCTGTTTTCAAAAGGGTATCAACTCTCCTTATTTTTCGCATCACTTTAAAATCTGCAAAAAATTTAAAGAAAATTTTTTAAAAAAGTCATTTCATTTTCTGAATTTGGAATGAATTGTACATATTTTTCAATTTGAAATACATGTTTTGTACAGTTATCGAAATTTACCTAGCTGTGAACGATATGGTGTGGAGTCAACTTCACTCAAAAGAATATCCGGAATATCCACAACGCAATTACAACAAGCCATTTTTGGAACAATTCTGTGAAACTGTTTTCTTCCTGTTTGCAGAAGGGTAATATACAACTGTTTATTCTTTGGACATGTTCTTCTTACACGTGCATTTCTATGTGGATTTTTCTCTCGGGTTCTCAGCTTTGAGTACTCTTTCCAGAAACTCTCTGTTGAGGTTTTTGTGTCCTTTACTTGGAGGACGTAAATATTGGTCTGAAAAAACGTGCATGCAAGCCATATTAGTACATCATCAGTAGGAAGATCATCTTCAATTCTTCCAATCACAAACTTTGTCAGCTGTCCGTCATCTTTTTTACCCTCAGGTAACTTTCCAAATGTAGCTACGTAAGACCGAATTATATTTCCTCCAATGACGGGTAAGTAGGTGGTAATATTTTGCAACAATTCTCCGCATAATTCTTTAAGTAATAAATCAACATGTTGTTCAGTTCCAAAAATTTCTTTGCTCAAGCACCGAAGTAAAGAATGGTGGGAAATCTGAATGGAGTCGAATGTTCTTCCTTTCATATCACTTCTCTGCATCGCTATGCACATTGAAGAGTATGGTGTGCAGATTGGAAAATCTCGTATTTCTGTCATGAACATTTCCTCTTCTGGCTCTTCTGAAAGAAAAGGAAGCAGAGAATGGTGGCGTTTTCTTGGGTCCACACATAAAAGAAGCTGGGACTCTATTTCTGTAAAAGAAAATTGATGATGTATATTTTTGTAATATTATAAATATGTCAGTCTCATTATTTTGTTAACATAGGGCTTTATAGTATTGACAAATTTTTTTCTTATAAAATGAATGAAAGGGTAAATATTAGGACTATAAGTGTGATTATTAAAAAAAAAAACATATTTATTTATAAGCATAACATTTTTTTATATACTCAGTACATTGCGCTGTCATTAATCATACGAGATATGCTTACAAATTTTCTAGCGAACTATCTAAAGACATTCAGTTTACATTCATTTTTTTATGCAATTTATGACAAAGCAATTCAAAGAATACTCATGCAACGTTTAAACAAAACTGATTATCCAGTTTAACTTTTATCTTACTATCATGGTTTCGAAGTAAAGACAGAGGTGGCGGAATTCCACAGTTACAGCCTCTCAGGGGTGTTATCCGATCATAGGAACCAGTCAGTCCATTGTAGAAAAGAGTAATATAAAACCTGCAGTCTTTATCATCACCAGGTTGGCCTTTTCCTGTACGAGTGGGTTCAAATTTTGTCCAGAATGTCTGAGAACAGTTAAACTGGGTAGGTTCTGAATGGTAAATGTATATTGGGACTGTCAAACGGTTTGAAAGTCTTCCTATTTTTTCATGGAAACTGAGCGTCTCGTTATCCAAGACATCAAGCAGATCACTATATTTTAAATAAACCATTATTTATGCTTTCATTTCAGCATTTGATTAAACACTGGATAATACTTATAGTAAATACAAATCCCGTTATTCAGTTTCTTTATATATCTATCAATCTCTCAGGTATTAATTAAAATTATGAATATGAGTAAATACCTAGTAAAATATTCGTCCCCATATAATTCTTTTGAAAGGGCCATGGCTAAAGTACCATGTCCACCATTTATTTGATCAATTCTTCGTTCCTTAGCGTAAAGTCGAGTTTCTACCATTTCTATGTCGTCTGTTGGGATAAGATAATCAACTCGCTGAGGCCAGAACGTCCGGTAGTTTGGTATGTGCTTTAAATGGGTGTGGTTTTGGTGTTTCCTACTTGGGGGACAGCATGGATCTCGTACTAAAGTGAATAAAATTGATAAAAGGTTTGTCTTCTAGCTTCAAAAAGGAGAATTGTTAGTTAATACACAATACTTTTACTGCATGATAGTTTGACAACATATGGTTGTGGTTTGTTCTAACTGAAGAATATACATGACTTTTCTTTACATTGTTTATTTTACAGATTATTGAGTGGAATCCCTCCTTTCAATTCGCTTTAGACTTTGAAAAGGTAGTGTGCATAGTAATGACCTTTGCAACTTCTCATTCATTATGGTGTGTCATTAAAAGATGTATACAGCTGTATATCATACGGAAATCATATGGATGTTTGTTTAAGGGGGTCATTTGGGAAAGCAAATTAACATACACATATTTTTTCAGAACAGGACTCGGACTGATTTAAGTAAACAAACACAACAATAGCAGTCGAATGAAAAGACTATTACTAAGCAAGAGGAGAGATAAGAACTAAACTAAAACTGTCCAAACGGGACAAAATACCCCCCGCTGGGTTTTTCAGAAGTAAGTTCTTCCATAATAAAGATATGTATCAAACAAGAATTATAAATTTTTTCTTCCAGTGACCTTGAACTTCCCCAAATAACCTTGGGTCAAGGTCATGACACATCCTTGGGTCATTGGCAATCTTTGTGTGAAATGAAAACCTACCACGTTTATCCATAAGAAAGATATGGACCGGACAGGAATTTTGAAATTTTTCTTCCAGTGACATTGAACTTTCCCAAATGACCTTGGGTCAGGGTCATGACACATCCTTGGTCATGGGCAATCTGTGTGTGAAATGAGATTTTTTTATGAAATTTTTCTTCCAGTGACCTTGACTTTCCCCAAATGACCTTGGGTCAAGGTCATGAAACACCCTTAGGTCATGAGCAATCTTAGTGTGGAGTAGTAGATTCTAATGTCCCTCTGTAAGAAAGATATGGACCGGACACGATTTCACAGACAGCCGGACAGACGAACAGACGGACAGACAGACAGACAGACAGACGGACAGACAGACAGACGGACAAGGTGATTCCTATACACCCCCCCCCCAAACTTCGTTTGCGGAGGGTATAATAAAAGCAAATTTTATCCCCCAAGTACGCTGGTTAAAGAATAAATATCAACAATACATAGCCATCAGAACCGGGGGGGGCTAGAGGGGGGTGGGGGCTAACCACCCCTCCACTTTTTTCTTTTTTGCAAAGGTAGACATAAGATAGACATTGAAAATTGGGGTTTACCTTTTTTGTTGGTATAGCCCCCCCCCCACTTTCAATTTGCTTCCGACACCTATGCAATATTGATCTCATACATGACTAACATCCGAAGGCAAAAGGAAAAAAAGTATGGAATGAAAACACTGCTAGATCTAAGGATTCACCTGAAACGAAAAATTAAAGAAAACTCAGTATAAGATGGCTGATTTAGGCTCATAACGGGTGCACCGATATGTAAGGCTTTTGTTAAACCTAACCTGGTTCTTAGAATACTGTTTTACCACAATTTAATGGCTTTCAAACAAATATTAATTTGATGTTGTAGATTTTGATTGAAGAGAATAAGTTAAATATTTTATTTAAAAATATCTTTTATCATTAATTTTAGTTAAGTGTGAGGTTTTGCATTACGTCACAACCTATGATGACAGCTGCGCTCAAGGTAAATAGTACACGCTTCCTAACAGCAAGCTTTACCACCGTTAATTGGATTTTTTTCAACTGGTATAACATTTATTTATATACTCATATACTAATATATCTCAAACCACTGACTACTCTTAGCTTTTAAGGCCCTTTTATGGAGAATATGAAAATACTTACACACTGTATTGTAGACGTCATCTTTGATTTTTCCGATGTGACCTTGTATTTCTGGCTTCTTCTGGCGACAAGAGCACACTCCTGTTGCTGTGATGTATGGCGTATATTCGTGTAATGTCTGCTGTTTCAGAAGAATTGGTGATTCACAACAGCATGCATATGTACACGGGACTGACATAAAAGTTTCCCAGTCACCTCTACACATTTTATCAACGACAATGTCCACGTTGAAAACTGACGATATGGCATAAAGTTCTCCATCGCCGGATGGTTTCATTCGAGTTTTTACTTCCACTGTGTGAGTCTTCAAAAGTCTCTCCTTTTCGGTAGTGGTCGATTCTTCACTGATGGAGTCGTCTGCATACTTGCAAAATAAATCCAGATTATCGCCTTCCAGTTCAAAGTTACAAATAATATTCAGTATGCGGTCATAGACTTTATTCAGGTTAAGCTTAACACAGAAAGTGTCACCGTAAACTACGATGACCAGAAGCATGAATTTGTGTTATCCGTGCTTCAGAAATTGCTTTCATTTCATGGGAATAATAAGAGGAATGGATGCATTTACAAATCTGTGTGTGATACAGTTACTGTAACTATCTACAGTAGCACACATACCATTCTCATTCAAGGGACTAGAGCGTTTGAATGGTACAGGAACGACTTTCTGAAAGAAATAAATTGTCAACCAGATATAACCCACAATGACTCTGAAACGGAGTGCAAAATTATTGTTGACCAGCCGAACTGTACCTCGACCCCACGGCCCTCTAAGAAACTGAATGAATCAAATATTGCGACAGGATGCGGTGGCCATTGTAAGAGTGCAGAAAGCATAAAACATCTTTCTGAGACAGTAAAAATGCTCACCAAAGAAGTTGAAATCCTGAAGAAGCAGCTAATGGAAGCAGAAGAAGCCAAGCCGCGTTCTAATGCTTCTACACAAACTTGTGGGAAAAAAGTGAAGCAGAAGGAAACTATGACTGAGGGACTCTCTGTAACAAATGGGATTTCAAGGCATACCCAGTGTACAATTACTGTTGAGAAAAGAACCTCCAGTACCTCAACAGATGCAGATGTCAGTCCCAGTCCTGTGTTGAAAAACACCCAGTCCATTAAGAAAGTGACAAATAAAAAGACAGATGCACACATCTCCAAAGAGAGTCAAAATATGTCGACCTCTAACAGACAAAACATCATCACAAGAAATTCTAAGCCTCCTGCAAGAGAATATAATGAAATACCGGTATCTACACTTGTCATCGGGAGTTCAATTCTTCAAAGAATAAAAACCCGTGGCTTAGATCAAAGTGTGAGAGTAAGTACAAATCGAGGTGCCAGTATTGCACACATTCGTTCAAAACTACAAAAGTTTGATGTGTCCTCAATCCAAAATGTTATTATTCAGGCTGGAGGAAATGATGTTGCAAATTTCCGTAACATTGATGCCATTGAGAACGACTTTGCAGAAATAGTTGCTGATTTAAAAAGAAGAAATCCTAGCATTGCAGTGTATCTATCGGAAGTGATTCCAAGACGGGATGCAGATGTAACCGAAGTGAATAAGTGCATTAGATATGTTTGTGAGGAGTACGGTGCTGTGTTAATCGAATCGAATAAGTCATTCAAACACTGGAATTCCCCTTCTTTTTGGAGAGATGGCATTCATTTGTCCGACCGTGGCACTGCTTCGCTTCTCAAGCTCTACAGTACTCATGTGAAAATTCTAAAACATCAAAATTCCTCAACTGTGCAGAACTGCTACTACTGTGGAGAGCAAGGTCATTCTTCGCGCAACTGCCGACACGGTAACAAAGTAACTTGCTGGTACTGTGGTGAACATGGCCACAAGCAGAAATTTTGCACAAAGTAGGATCGCGGCAAAGAAAGCTGTGCCGATTATACGAATTACTGTCCGATTATTAACAATGTCAAAAATTATTTTCACCCTTTGATTAATGTCTGTTTTGATTGTAATGAATCAATTTGCACCTGTCTTTTGTTCAATGGTAACTCAAGTAATTATAACTTAAAATCTGTAAATTCAGATCTATGTAAATCTAAACAGAAAATCCTTTTGAACCAAAATCAAAGAAAACTTTACAATTCTCCAACAACAGACACCCCAAAAAATCATAACAAACAAAATGTGTGTGATTCAAAAGTTGGCCTTTTAAAAAAAGGTCTACATTTTGTAAATTTAAATGTTTGTCACATTTTACCGAAGTTAGATGAATTAATTTTATTTTTAAAGGATCAACAAAATGTTGACATTTTTTCTCTATGTGAAACTTTTCTTGACGAAAATATTAGTGATTGTATTATAAATGTAAATGGATATACTTTTGAAAGAAAAGATAGAAAAGGAAAGGCGGGTGGTGGACTAGTTACATATATTTCAAATGATTTGAAATATAAACGGCGAACTGATTTAGAAATTAATAATTTAGAAACATTGTGGCTTGAAATTAATCTTAAGAATTCTAAACCTATACTTTATTGTTCAGTTTACCGTCCACCATCTGCCCCCTCCTGCTGGGTAGACGATTTTGTTAGAGAGGTTCAGTGCGCTACCTGCTGTGACGATCAGGAAGTGATTATTACAGGTGATTTCAATTTAGATATGCTCAAAGACCCCCCGCAGAGTTGGTCATCTGCAATTGTAGATTTGGGATTAACACAATTAATTAACACCCCAACAAGAATTACCAATAGCTCTAAAACTCTCATTGACCATTTCTACACTACGCACCCTGCTAACATATGTGAAATATCAGTACCCCCTGTAGCAATGTCTGACCATTATCCAATATGTGCTACCCGAAGATCTAACAGCATGCAACGCAAAGGCAGACACACTGAAATACAATACCGTGACTTTAAAACCTTTAATGAACATGATTTTTTGCATGATTTAAATAATGCAAATTTTGATGAATTAATTCTCCTGCATGATCCTGATGAAATTTTAACATATTTTTATGCAATTTTCAATTCTGTACTTAATAATCATGCGAAAGTTAAAACAAAGCGTGTGAAATCAGAAATTCGCACTAAATGGTTAACTCCAGAAATAAATGAGGCTAGGATTAAAAGAGATCAATTCCATAAACAGGGAGACATGGGCAATTTTAGATTTTGGAGAAACAAGGTCACCTCTCTAATTAATGATGCAAAATCTACATATTATAAGACAGTAATTGAAAATAGTTCTACATTAAAAGAAATGTGGGGTCATTTAAATCAGCTTTCCTCAAAATCAGATAAATATTCATCCCCTTCCAATATAACTTATAATGGATTAGAATTTGATAATTTAAAAGACATTTCAAATGCTTTTAATGAGCATTTTGCACATATTCCAAGAAAATTGTTAAATAATCTTTCATTGACTAGTTTTAATTCAGAAAAATTGAAAAGATACACGGAAACAAAACTTGGAGATCAAGACTTTTTTGAAATTCCATTGATTAATGAAACAAAAGTATTTGATATGTTAAATAGGCTTGACATAAACAAATCTGCTGGCATAGACTTTCTTGGACCCAGATTACTTAAAATTTCAGCTAGTGTAATATCCAAACCTCTAACACACTTAATAAATTCCAGCATAATCAAGGGATCCTTTCCTTCACAGTTAAAAATAGCAAAAGTAACTCCTCTATTTAAAAAGGGTGATAAATCAGACCCAGGAAATTATAGACCAATATCAAACTTACCAACTATTTCGAAAGTCTTAGAGAAGCATGTAGCAGAAAATATACGAAGCTTTACTTCTCACTATGATTTATTAATGAAAGCACAATCTGGATTTAGAGAATTTCACTCTTGCCAGACAGCTCTCACAAAACTAACTGATAATTGGCTGCATGCAATAGATCAAGGAAATTTCGTTGGCATTACTTATTTGGATTTTAGCAAAGCTTTTGATCTCGTAAATCATGATATACTTATTACTAAACTTAAATGCTACAACTTTGATCCTATATCGATTCAATGGTTTGAATCATATTTAAATGATCGAACGCAGAGTGTTAAAATTGGTGCGTACACATCTGAATCACTGCCTGTCACAGCAGGTGTGCCACAGGGATCTATTTTAGGTCCTTTGTTATTCCTGTTATATATTAATGATTTACCATTATCTGTTGAACATTGTAATATTGATATGTTTGCTGATGACACTACAATGCATTTTCATGGTAACAATATTTCATATATTGAAGCAGCTCTGAATCAAGACCTTTTTCAAATACAAAACTGGTGTCAACAAAATCAGATGATTTTGAATACGGACAAAACTAAGAGTATGTTAATGGGAACACATCAAAAGAAATCAAAATTAGAAAACGCTAATCTTCATTTACAACTTCCTGGCCAACCCCTTGAAAATGTTACAACAGAGAAATTATTAGGTGTTCACATTGATCATAATCTTCAATTTACTAGTCATGTAGATGCAGTTTGCAAAACTCTTGCATATAAATTATTTACTCTACGAAAAATTAAGAAGTTCCTTCCATTGCATACTAGAAAGCTATTTTATAACGCATTTATTTTACCATCAATTTTATATTGTCTATCTATTTGGGGTAACTCTCCTCAAACTCACATCGATAGAATATACAAACTTCAAAAACGAGCAGCTAGGATTATTTTAAATGAAAAATACGATGCACCTTCAATGCCCTTGTTTAACATATTAGGCTGGTTAACAGTTCATGAACTTCTATATTTACAGAAAAGCATTCTGATGTTCAAAACATTCCATGGTATGTCTCCTGATTATATGCATGATTTTTTTGAATTTCAAAGTTGTGGATCATACACGCTACGCTCACAGACAAATTCAGAACTTCGTTTACCAAAATTTAAAACTAATTTATTTAAAAATTCTTTGCAATATTCAGGGGTTATTATATGGAATGAGTTGCCTATTAGTATAAGGAATTCCCAATCCCTTTCAATATTTAAAAGTAGGGTAGAACATTTTTTACTTATGAAACGTTCTTCATGAAAAAAAAAAGTTTTCATTCCTCTGAGCTTATAATGAAACGAAAGTGTTTAATTTATTCTAGTGTAACATAATGTGTGTTTATATCTTATTGTTCCATGTTTGTGATTATTGTCTTTATTATTGTATAAAACATTGTATATGTGTTTTTAAGAAGGCCCCGAGGAAGACTAGTGCTCGCACTAATCGGATTACCTTCTATAAATAAAGTATTATTATTATTATTATTAACATTGCCGAATTCCAACGTTCCATCTTCATTTTCAACCATAAAGATATAAACTGGATCTGTGTCAACACACTGTCTGATAGTTGGAGCGAAAACGTACCCCTGACATCCGAAGATATCTTCACTGCAAAAACTATCGTGACGAATAATACATATGTTCTTCTGTAGTAATTCTGCCCCGGCATAAATTTCTCGGGGAGAGACGTTTTTCTTATCTTTTTTGTTCTTTTCCAGATCACTAGATAAGCATTCT